TTCTGGTCTTCAAGGCCTCCACGCCTATGTGTATCTCGATGACTGTATTGTCTACTCCGAAAATTTGATGACTCATATCTCGAAGCTAAAACTTGTATTTGACAGACTTCGTAAATTCAACTTAAAACTACAACCAGACAAATGCGAATTTCTACGTCGAGAAGTCGCATATTTAGGACATATTATAACCGATAAAGGTGTATCACCGAATCCCGAAAAGGTCAAGGCTGTTGCCGAATTTCCAAGTCCCAAAAATCAAAAACAAATAAAATCTTTCCTGGGTCTTGTCGGGTACTACCGACGCTTCATAGAGAACTTTTCCAAGGTTACTAAGCCTCTCACTTCCTTATTAAAAAAGGATACTCCTTTTAATTGGACCTCTGAACAAGAAACTGCTTTCAACATCCTTAAGGATAAACTCACTACTGCTCCTTTACTTCAATATCCTGATTTCTCCGCTCCGTTCATAGTTACGACGGATGCCTCTAATTATGCCGTAGGTGCAGTTCTTTCCCAAGGCGATATAGGTAAAGATAAACCTATAGCTTATGCGTCGAGAACGCTCAACAAAGCAGAAGGAAACTACTCCACCACGGAGAAAGAACTTCTCGCTATTATTTTCGCCGTCAAAACATTTCGTCCTTATATCTATGGACGTAAGTTCAAGATCGTAACTGACCACAAACCCTTAGTATGGTTATTTAGTATTTCAGATCCTGGTAGTAGACTTATCAGGTGGCGCCTCAAGTTAGAGGAATACGATTATGAAATCGTTTATAAACAAGGACGTTTAAATTCAAATGCAGACGCGTTATCACGCTATCCCGTCAATGCCATTGATATAAAAAGTTTGAATAATGCATCATATGAGAAATATTTCAAAGATCAATTCATAAATAAATCTATTACATCTAATACTATAATCGAAGAATGCAGTCAAGCATTGCATTTGTCTAAGTCGAATTCAATCGCATGTCCAGTCTCTTTAGACTTTGATTACTCTATGCCTCATTGCGAGGAAATATTATCGCGGCTCGAGAATTCCGCTGACTTGTTAAACTCCGAGCGCGAGCCGTTTACTATACGATCTGTAGTGGATAAAAATAGAACATATTATTTCTTATTTACAAAAGTACATCATTACGAAGAAACAAAATATAAAGATATTTACAATTTACTAATTAAACTTAGAGATAAAATCTTAGCCGAAAATTCTAATTGCAATGAGATTGCATTATCGGATTTTTCTGATCCTTTCTCAAAGATAATATATACTAAAATATATAATATGATATCCTACATTTTTCATAATACTAATTTAAAAATTTATATTTATAAAAATCAATTGATATACCCGACTCCCGCTGAAGTCCCAAAAATATTAAAAGAAAATCATGATTCAACAATCGCGGGTCATCCAGGGTCAAAGCGCATGTATAATCGAATTAAGGCTGCTTACTATTGGAAAGGAATGCGCGCTGACATTGAACGTTTCGTAAAAAGTTGTAAGTTGTGTCAGATAAATAAACCTTTAAGAAAATCAAATAGAGCTCCTATGGAGATTACATCCACTTCTACCAAGCCCTTTGAGAGATTAGCTCTAGATATCGTTGGTCCATTGCCGGAAGCTGGATTTCAAAAGTTCAAATACATACTGACTCTTCAGGACGATCTAACTAAGTTCTCAAGTGCTTATCCTATGGTGTCCGCCACCAGTGAAGAGATAGCACGAAATCTTGTTCATTTTATATCTCTTTTCGGCTTCCCTAAGACTATTTTAACAGATTTAGGTACGTGTTTCACATCCGAATTATTTAAACAATTAACAGAAATTCTTAAAATCAAATCTCTTTTTGCTACTCCTTATCACCCCCAAACAAATGGTGCCCTCGAGAGGTCACATGCCACTATGAAAGAATATTTAAAATCATTCGTAAACGATAATCAGAACGATTGGCATTGTTATTTATTTACTGCAATTCTAGCCTATAATACTACTCCGCATTGTACTACTAATTTTACTCCTTATGAGTTATTATATGGTTATAAACCTTCTATTCCTAGTTCCTTATACGAGACAAATAACAATACATATAATGAATATATTCGCGCCTTGCAATATAGGATGCGATTTAGCCGAGAGAAAGCTATACAGAATATTGTAAATAGTAAAATAAAATCTAAGCAATATTATGATTCGAACTCGCGTGACGTCACTTATAAGACAGGTGACATGGTTTATTTAAAATGTCACCATCGGCTAAAGAAAGCCTTATCGCCCATTTGGAAAGGGCCTTATAAAATCGTTGAAACAAATGGTAAACATAACGTCACCTTATCTATAAATAGAAAACATGTAAAGTATCATACAAACGAGATAAAACCAGCTCAATTATAATTACGTACTTATTATATTATTATTCTATTTCTTTTCAGAACGTTATGGCACCTGAGCTATGCCACATCCTTCATCACGCCCATAGCTCATAGTCCAGGGATTTATTATGATCCCATAACAAACGTATATTTTTATAATGACTATTGGAAAATTGTTTCTTTTATCGATGTAGTATCTGTAGAGCCTCATCTCGACAATATTGAAAATTCTCTAAGAAAAATTCTAGATATCTGCATCCAGTCGAGATTGACAGAATATATACAATGTAAAGATGTTATCAGCCCAATCGAAGTATTGTTACAATCTAACTATTTAAAATTAAATTCCTTATCTCATATTATTGGTACAGACTCACCCAACCGCTCTAAGAGGTCTCTAGAGTTCGGTGGAGAAATTTTAAAATTCTTTTTCGGTACATTAGATGCCGATGATGCCCGAAAATATGATGCTGCTATTAAAGCATCTCAAAACAGTGAAACAGAGTTATTTCACCTTATAAAAGAAAATATTCACGTTGTAAAATCTACTATAAATGCATTCAATTCGACAGTATCTATATTAAATAAAAATGAGTTTCGTTTAAATTCACAAATTAATAACCTTAACGAGATTTTATCTCAAGCTACCAAGAATAATAATCAACTTGTATATATATCTAAAGTTAATAATTTAGTTAATATCTTAGAAAGTTCATCATTGACTATATCTAATTTCTTAGATTCTATTTTAAATGCTATTTTGTTTGCCAAGGCAAATATTCTTCACCCTGTGGTGATAACGCCTACTAATTTGCTAAAGGAACTCATAAAAAACAGTAACGTAATGAGTAAAAGATTAGGTTTTCCTGTTCCTCTAAATATTGAAACTATACATACTATTATAGACGTTTCTAAATTAACGTCATATTATTATAATAAGAAAATTGTATTTGTATTACAAATTCCTCTAACCTCTCCCGTCAAATATTCTATTTATAAATTAATTCCTTTGCCTACACCCTCAGATAACGACAACTTAAACGTTTTTGCTCTTATTCATCCTAGTAAGCCTTATCTTGCTATTTCCGACGATAGGCAAAGTTATGCACTTTTAGATGATATCAGGGATTGTTATAAAATAAATAACGATTACAGTATTTGTCAATCGCAATCAATAACACTTTTATCGTCGAATACGAATCCTTCTTGTGAATCTAAACTATTAACAGATGTTGTTTTATCTTTACCAAAAGAATGTACTTCCAAATTATTATATGGTCAAATAAATATTTGGCAAAAACTCCATGATGACAGATGGATATTTGTGCAGTCGCAATTAAATAAATTGACAATAAAATGTAACGAGGATATCAAAGACTATCCCATTCAAGGTACCGGGATATTAGAATTGCACCCCGATTGTGTCGGTTATTCTAAAACTTTACAGTTCTTCCCATCTACCACTATGTCGTTCAACTATAATAATCAACTCTTCATAGACTTTGATATCACTCAAGACGACTGTTGTTAAAAGGACATAATTAATAAAACGATTCCTTTACTTTCTCCGTTATCTCTTAACAATATCGATTTAGATACATTGGCCCGTGCTTCTCGACATTTAGATGATCTTGAAAATAATATAAACCAATTTCAACAGGAATCGCATTTTATTAAGTATGGAACATACTATTCCGCTTTTACTTATTTTCTAATTGTAGCTATAATTTTATTTTTAATTTATAAGGCATACAGATGTTTTTCTCGGAAAGGAATTCATTCATCTTGTTGCATACAGATATTTAATCAGTGTAACAATAATAAAAATGTAAAGCGTCAAACAAAATTTGCTAACTCCATAGAATTAACAGATGTCTCTAACTCTGACGAAGATAAGCAGTCAGTTAAATCCTTACCTGCTTGTCGAACCGATTGTAAACCTTATAGTAGTAGACATAAAGATAAGTTTATTAGTTCTAGTTCCAGAAATTTGAATTTTTAATATTTTTACATTTTATAATTATCTTACTAAACCTTGTTCATCTTACGAGATGAGATCTTAGTTCTAATCTTGATTATTATGACTTTGTTACTTAGAGTAATATTATTGGGAATCATTTTATTGTATTTTTATATGTTTTATAATGTACAACTGTTTACCAAATCCTGAAGCTGTCTCTTAACATTGATTATTTTTATAACTCCGCTTCATCCTAATTTTCGATAAAGCTCCGTTAAAAGGGGGGAGTTGTTATAACCCGACTTAGTAACCATAGAATGCTAATTCAACAAAACGTGTATAACTGTAATTTTCCATAGAATTAAACTGCAGAGTTGCATTAACGCAGCCCTCACATTATTCCATCAATTCCCACAGTCAGTTAGACTTTGGCAACGGGAAAGAACGGTCCATCCGGGTAGCTCAGGACTTGGTACTCGAGTTCGCGTGTGTAATTGTGTATATCAAAAATCATTAAATTCATATCCGGGAATTTTGGGTTTTTTTTAAAAAGACGAACAGCGCCGGCCGCCTAACAGTTCGCAAGTTTCAATTGCTTAGGAATTAACTTAGTATTTTTTTAAAAGTGTTCTGTTATAAATTTGTATACAATTACTCTTTGCAGCAAGTTACATCGAGGTGTGCAAACGCGATCAAGCGACAATTAGTGAGTGCGTCCGACACTCCATCGAGACACTGAAGCCACGACTCTCGAAGGGATTGCCCGAGCTAGACGTGCCTGGCATCGAACCCTTCTATGTTCCTGAGGTACTAACTAGTTACTACAAAACAAAGTATTACTACAAAAAAATACAATTCGGCCTATGTAAATCCTGATATGCGAAAGTTGGTATACTTGTTACTTAATCACGCAAAAACTACTCAACGGATTTGGTTGAATTTTCGTACGCATGTAGTCTCGATTGAGATATAGGATTCTATTTTTTCTTAAAAAATCAAAGTTTACGCTAATGAAGGAATGAACTCTTGAAACTGTTACTTTTTGTGGGCCCCCGTTTCTGCACGTAGACCCCGTACTTGTGTCCATTGTGCGTGCAGGGTTGGTTGGGATAGCCAGCACAGCCAGCCCAGCATCTTCCAGAAGCGCAGAAGTCTCCTGGGACTCTCACAGGCTTCTAGGAGAGTTCTCGGCGCCCTGAGGATAAATGCCCGGTGTTCAGCTATGCTCATGCATTCCAGGATCACATGAGCGGCCGTTTCGTCTGCTTCCAGTCATCCTCTGCACAGAAAATGCTGCTTCATCGCAATCCATTTTTTATTTAATTTTGTCGAGCTACCTTCGAAAGACTTTTATTGAGCGATCGGTTATTTCATTGTTCGATTTTTAAAGTTTTACAGTCTATTTATGAATTTATTACCTAATTTAGTTAATAAAGTACTTTATTTTAAATTCTTTTTTGTAATTTTGAGTTTATTTATTTGACCCTAACTACCGTAAACTACCACCGGTTCCAAAATTGGGAGACCTTTCTGAGAAGAACCGGCGAAACAAACTCAAGAGAGGCTTTCTATCTCCTTCTTATGTTAAATTATGCAAACAAAAAGAACTAATAGTATCTGCTGCTCTTACAGTGTGTACTCGGCGTTGGGATTTTATCTCCTGTATAATGGGTTCCCAAACTGGTGGTATATACCAACCATCTTCCATATTGATATTTTGATATTTTTTAATCTCAATAGCCTCGCGTATCATTCAAGGAATGAATCGTTGCTCAGTTGCAAAGATCTGTGGTTTATCAAATCTAATGTAATGGTTTGGTCCCCCTAATGCATGTTCACCCTCCTCCTAATCTTGTCAGTGACTCCTTTCATGTAACATAGCAGGTTGTCGGTCGACTGTGCTAAGTTTTGCGCGACGGTGACGTGGTACATTCAGATTATTATCATAATAATTTAACATAAGAAGGAGATAGAAAGCCTCTTTTGAGTTTGTTTCGCCGGTTCTTCTCAGAAAGGTCTCCCAATTTTGGAACCGGTGGTAGTTTACGGTAGTTAGGGTCAAATAAATAAACTCAAAATTACAAAAAATAATTTTAATAAAGTACTTTATTAACTAAATTAAGTAATAAATTCATACATAGACAATAAAACTTTAAAAATCGAACAATGAAATAACCGAACGCTCAATAAAAGTCTTTCGAAGGCAGCTCGACAAAATTAAATAAAAAATTGATTCCGACGAAGAAGCCTGTAAAGGCTGCGAAACATCAATAAATAAATAAAGTTTCGTGCATTAACCCGTGAAAAACTAGTTTTATTTAATGAGTGATGTGCGTGAAAACCTAAGAAACAAACATTCCTGTTTTGGTCGGATTCACCGATAGTTGGTGTTTAGTATATCAGATTTCGTCTAGTTTGATATAATTACTCATTAAGTTGCATAGCACATACTGGAATGGCCCCCTTATGAGAATGACTATGTCATCCGCATAGCCTAATGTGTGGTCGTTGCGTCGATTGAGCTGGCAAATTAATTCGTCAACCACAATGTTCCACAGGAGAGGAGACAGAACTCCCCCCTGTGGGCAACTCCGAGCTACTACGCCTCTTTACGTAGTGTTTACAGTCACTTATATTGCCCTATATTTGAGCATGTTGTTGATCCATACCGCAGTCGTAGAGTCAACGCCATGTCTCATAAGTGCATGGGTAATGGTGGTAAAGTTAGTTTTGTCAAAGACGCCTTCATTATCTATGAAGACAGACTCCCAGCGCTGATTGTCTTGGTGATAATCCACTTTCTATTTGCTTCACTACGTTATGTAATGCGGAGTCAGTGGATTTGCGTATACTGTAGGCATGTCGATTTGCATCCAGTGGTACTCGCTGTAAAGCGTCATCCCTCAAGTTCCTATTACGCATGCTCTACAGTACCTTTAGGAGGAATGATGTGAGACTTATCGGTCTGTATGCTTAAGGTTGCGTGTAGTCATTATTGCCTGGGTTACGTATGAAGATGAATTTCAATTTCACTTGATCCATTGGAGGATAAAATGCTACCCAGTCCAGCTGCTTTAAATGGGAGAAAGCTTTTGATGGCCCATGTTAATGTGTTGATTCTGGATTCGCAAATGCTTCATCTTCCCATTCCTGGTTGTGAATTGTAGCTTGTAGCGATATGATTTGTGGTTGCATATTATTCCGTGAAATATACGCAATAGTTTACGGTAAGCATAAGCACCGCTATGATAGTTTTTATCACGCTTATTTGACAGTTTGACAGTTAGACATGATAAAAAACGTTATATTATGTTAATTGTGGTGCTCATACTACGGGGAATGGATTATGTAAAAATATAATGTCTTGCTGTGTTTTCAGAACGCTAATAAATACCTGTAAATAAAAATCAATAATGATGTGTCTTTCATTTCAGATTGTTTTAGCGAGTGGTGGTCAGTTACCGTTGTCTGCTGTTGGCAAGGACGTGAAAGTTTCTGGTGCAGCAAATTTTTCTATCAGGAGTTTAACGTGAGTAATTAAGCATCCATACTAACATAATTAAGTACTAACGAAGCCCTTTTACTACATCACCACTTTCCATCCGACCTTTCATTTGTTTATTGCGGGAAACGATTATCATTATCCTCCTCCTTACAGTTACAGAACATCACAGTCATATAGAGGAACTAATATTTTCTACAGTGAGTAAGGTTTCCAGATATCAAATTGATAAGGCCAAAGTTTGTGCCAGCGATATTTCTGGTTTTTCTATGGGTCCTGTAGATGGCTACTTTATAAGGTTTATAAAAGATCAGCCATTATTTGTATGCAGAGGCAAATCAGTGGACGCACTATATAAACAGGACTGCGTACTTTTACTCATAAAACGGCCAGAGTGAGAGATAAAAAAGAGGGTTTCATCCCTTTCTAATAGTATGACCATGACTTTTATTTATTTTTTATGGAAATTAAAATAATCAAATATGCAGGTTTATTTAAATAAATATATGAGTGCAAAAATATAACTTCAGTTTACCGGTCTGATTTTAATTTCAGGGTGGATCTGGACACGTTGACTATAAGGGCGCGGGTTCGTTTTCCACATTTGCACCTAGTGGGAAAGTATACCGTTGATGGACAGATCTTGGTCGTACCCATCAAGGGAATGGGCATCGTCACGTCTGAAGCTGGTGAGATAAACCAATATAACTAGAATAATAAGTTTTTTTAAACATTTAGTGTATGGGTTTTAGTGCGCCCATACAAGAGAGTTGTTTGTAGTTAGTTGTAGTTATGGTACACTAATTAGTTGATGATGAAAAAACTGGTTTACGTAAAAGGTTATAATAAGAAGTAAATATATAGAAAATACAACATATAAATTGGTAGCTTATCTGTTGCGTTGTCAGTAAAATAATGTGCATTGTTATAAAATAATAATAAAATAAATTATAATAATTGCGCTGATCTATGTAAAACGTGTGTGCGGTTAATGAACCGTACAGTTAGGATATAAAACAAAGAAACTATCAGGGGCGTAATTAAAAATCTTGTGGCCAGATTTGCACTCTCCCCTAGAGTAATTAAATCCAAGCTTTAAAAACCCAGGACTCTTAGAAACTATCCAGGACGTCCAAGGACACCACGAAAGACAGGATAATATAATATTATTGGAATTTCATGTGAGCTCTATGTACAGCAACGCCTGATAGCAAGCAGTAACAACAGTATTGTCTAGACTCTATTGCTATTAAAAGTTTTGATAATCTAAAATAATGATTTATTCAGGCTCATATTCAGACCCCTCTTTCCCAGTGGGCACTTTGGGCAAGTGTCCAGGGCCCCGCGATCAATAGGGCCCCCCCTCAGATGAAATACAAAGTCCCAAGTTCCTGTTAAATCACCAAACGGGGTTCATAGGGGCCCCATTATCCTAATATGCCCAGGGCCCCCAATAGGTCAAAGACGGCACTGCTCATATTAATATTGTAGAGAATATTTGCTGCTTAATATTTGTTGGTTTTGCTCTTTTTACTTTATATTATTATAGAAGTTTTTTCTGACAAATGACATTTGATGTTGAGTGGCGGTGGAGCCCAGACCCAGTTGGGTCTTCCACTTGAAAATACCTCCTATAAAATCTTTGTTGCAACTATGAATTTTTATGTTCAAAAGTTAGAACTCTTATTAATAAACGAATTCAGTAGGTAGATAAAATAACACCATAATTTATACAAAAAGGAACATAACAATTCTAAATGAGACCGTAGCGTGACGCCTGACAAACAACGAGAAACAATCTTTGAAAGAAAAACATGCAATTAATTTATATCGCCCGAAACCTGGACCTAGGCGATTTTTTTTCCAGCAAAATTTTTAATAGCTAATGTGTTTAAATCGAAATATGTAAAAGAAGAAACTGACTAACTTACTGACACATCAACATACAGCCCAAACAGCTAGGTTTAGAGACTACCAATTTTATTACATTTAGGTTCCTTTTGAGGTCTAGGAGTGCATGCACTAAGAAAGGATTTTTCAAAATTCACCCCCCAAGGGGTTAAAATAGAGGATGAATGTTGGTATGAAAATCTTATTCCTTGAGTTAATAAATAGTGTTATTAGTTTATTCTTGACTTGAAACTTGGCACGAATACTTATCTAAATAAATGATTAAGCTTGCAAACTACCCCTAAAAAGGGGGATTGAGGGTATCGACGCTTTATATGGATGAATTTTAACGCGCGGTTCGAAATAGAGAGTTTGTTCGAAATAGAGAATAGAAAAAAAAGTCTAATATGACACATGGGCCGTGCAGGAGTTTTAATTATAAGTCACCTCTTCCTTAAAGTTGCCACTGAAGCTAAAATATGTGGTAACTCCATTATGTAATTTTTCAATGCAGAAGTATTGAGGAAAACTAAAATTATTGTCTGGGTTGAAAGTAAAAAGGTAAAGAAGCTTTGAATTGACTCAGCAAAAGACATACACATCAACAAAAGTTTGATGGGTGGTATTGCTGCCAACAGACTTTCCTTAAACTCTACCAATATGTAGTTCCTAGGGGAACACGTGTCGATGAGACAAAAGCATGTCCTAAAAGATCACATTGTGGCCCTCAGTCTTTTTTTAAATTAACAAATAATATGAGTGTCCACCTTGGAGGTGATGTTTCCGCTAGCTAATTTTCGGATCTTTAAAACAATAAGCCATTGGTCCCAGCTGCATCTGCAGTGGTTATCAGCAACCAATCTGCATTATGTGTTCGAGGCTTGTTCTTTCTGTATGACTCTGATGCTATAATTATAAAAAAAAATATTCACCCCAAGGATGTGTGATCAAAAATATACCATCTTGAACTTCTCCATGCTTCAGAAAGCATGTTAAGTCGTTAGTCCTAGTTGCATCTGTTATCGTTAGCGCCGTGCCAACTTGGTGAATTATGGTTCATTCTCCCTATTTCATCCATTGGGAGGCCTGTGCCGCAGCAGTCTGAACATTAATAGGCTGTTGATGTTAGAATTTATGTCCATCGCAGTGAAAGCCGACGCTGAATTGGTGCTGAAAGGTCAAACGGAGAAGAGAGACGGCGTTGAGTACGTGAGGTTCACCAGTCTGCGCAGCAACATCGCCATTAAGGACTACCGCATTCGCCTGGACGGGCTGTTTAACGGCGATAAGGTTCTAGGTATGATCATAATTGTATAGTTCACTACTGCAGCCGCCAGCAAAAGAGGCATTGATGGACGCACGTGTTAATGTAGGCCGAGGCGAAGCCGAGGTAGTTCGATAACTTTGGATAACCATATTAATACTAGTAGAAACTGATATTATCAGGCATTAGAATTAATAGTCTTAGTAAAACCGTAGGAGATACAATAACCCCACCCACAATTTATGATGGGGCAAACGTAGCCGTCTCAAAATACTTGACTCTACTTAAGCGTAATAAATTTTTTTCCTTCGCTTGATTTTTACAGGTGATGCGACTAATGAGGCTATCAACCAGAACCGTGGCGAGTTCTTCCGGGCTGTAAAACCGGTTCTTGAGAAAACAGTGTCTAAACTCTTTCTGGACATGGCTAACAAAGTTGTGGACGGGATAACCATGGACGACATACTACCCTTGCCTTAAAAAATTGTATTGCCAAACCACAAATTACTGAACTACTGCGCTTAAGCTAAGTGTCGGGTCTGAATATAGCATTATTTCTGTTACGCACACATTTGCATTAGAGCCCCAGCGGGGTTTTTGGGATTTACTCGAGCGCGGCAGAATAACATAAGCGGAGCAACCTTGCACCTTGTGAAGTACTCTCAGCATACCTGAGCCCTTTATATTGGGTCGAACGTTTAGACTGCCAAAAAAAAAGCAACAAATGGCCATGACTTTTGGTCGCATCCAAATCGTCAGTTTTTGAATAGGTTCTGAAAACTGAGGGTTCATGTAACGTTTTCAATGACGGAAGTATATTAAATTGCCGGTTAGTATGGTGTGAGGGTCGCCGTACGAAAGGGTAGAAAATAGGAAAAAATATTCGAGCGGATCAGACATTGAAAAGAGATGTTACGTAAACAAAAGACTGACGATTTGGACACGACCAAAAATCATGACCGATTGTTGAATTTTGTTTTTTCTACCCTAGAGTACTTCACAAGGCGCAAGGTTGCCTGCCCCCCTTATGTTATTCTACCGCGCTCGAATAAATTCCAAAATTCTCGCTTGGATTACTCTACCAACAGAAACACTCCACCAAAAGACAGTGTTACTTTTTTCTTGTCTTCAGTTAGGTATAAGGTTACTTTCTAAGACGGGCACTTCCAATTCTAGGTCATTCACCGCAGTTTTGTCAACAAAGTCTGCCTTTAATGCCTAAATAACTCTACTAAACTTTGACTCTTCTTCTTTAAATTGTTTATAAATGCAGTTGGTATTAGAAATTAAAATATAAGTAATACCATTTCTACCTTCCCATCAATAAAAATCATCGAAACATACACGTTGTACGTTATACGAGAATGTGTTGAGGTCCTTCAGGCTTTTGATTCATAAGCCTCTGATTATATCAGATAATACAACTCGTCCATGAAAAAAAAAGAAAGATGTTGATAGTGACCTTGACCAGAGTCAAGTGTAGTAAATAGTGATGCATTCCAAGCGACGGACGCCGGCTGTTTTGAACCAGAAAATAGATAGTACAGAGGTAATTTCATGTATGTGTTTCACTTTATATATGTACCTACCTGTGCTCAGCGGTGGCGCACAGTGGGCTGAAAATCGGCATTCATAGACTTAGGGATTTCAATTTGCAAGTGCTGTATTTTTTGCTGGTTATCGCTTCTATTAGTGATCACTATACACAAAAAAGATATCAGAGTTAATTCTGCACAAAAATGAGGATATTATATTTTTTTTACGAATAATTTGTATGGAGGTAGTATGAAAAATAGAATTATCTCTTAAACGGCAAGGAAAACCGTAATATCCTTACAGGTGATTATAGTACTATTTATTTATGGTTTTTTGACATAATTCACATAACGGTTTTCAATGCCGTTTTTTTTTTAAAAAATCATCAAAATATTTTTATATAATATCAAACCTTCCGATCCTTTTAGTGTTAATGTTAAGAACATCCGTATGAGGAATGTTATCGATCCAAAAATTAAGAATGTATAAAACAAGAAATTACATAAAAAAACTCTTTTTATTGATTATAACTAAAAAAGAGGTAACAAAAACCGTATTGAAGTACTTTAAATACAATAATACAAATTTTAAGTTCAATTAATTTAAGAAAGAAATAAACTTATTGGTACAATAAACAATCAACTAATAAATAAAGAAATAATACAATAAACAAACCATACAATGAACAATAAATAACAACAAAACATGAAATAATATCATAAGTATTATAAATCTTCCCTGTCTACTTAGTGTTTAGTGCTACTTATTTATGATTTTTTAGCGTTCTTCACGTAACGGTTATCAATGCCGCTTTTTTAAAAAAAAAAAACATTCCGCTTGGTGTCTATATTGGGAGAGAGAGAGACTTTTAACAGCATGACATAAATATGCATCACCTATATTCTCGAAGGAGTAGAGGTTTATAGTACACTCACACTATGTATATTTGAAATACGACTATAAGACCAAATAACAAATGGTTTAGTCTTACAATGGTGTCGATTCTGGCAGCATTCTCTAAACTTAAAACTAAATTTAATATCAGTCTGTCCTTTTTATTCTATATAGAGAATGACAAGGATACACTGTTGTCAAATTTAAGTTTAGCTTTTGAGAATCATGCCAGAATCGACACCAATGAGTCTGAAAATAAGTTATTGAATAATTATAATCATTTAGTCTTTAAATAAGTCTGAATAGGTGATACAATGATTTGCAATATTACGAAACAATGTTAATTATAGACTACATTCACCTTCTTCCGATAATTAAGCTAATTTGTTAATTAGTTTTGCTATTATGAGTTCTATGGAACATTGTGACGATTGTATATTATCATTAGGAAATCTTTTTTAGCTTTAATGAGGGTAGTTAACTAATTATCGACGTTTTGCTATAAAAGGGATAATATTTTGCTTTATAATTTAGATTGTTCACAACTGTGTAACTGCTAATACTTAATCTTGCGAATAACTCTGCGACTACAAAATCTTAGAATGGAAAGTTTAATAACCAATTTGGACTTGTTTGTTCTTCTAAAAAGTGAGAGTACTTCATTTAATCATGAAGCATTGTTCGGTGCAATCGTATCACGCATAGGCGATTGCCTTTCTGCCGAAGATCGTGTAACTCTCAAAGAATTTTGTCGGAGATTCACGCGAGCAGCTTTACAAAGATGGCAAAAATCAAACCGATTCCTTGATAATTTCAAAAGACTGTACGGAAATTGGTTGCAAGCAAATATTGATTGGCCAAGTTGTGTGCAAACTCTATTTAATCAAGAACCAACTATTGATGAGATACCAAGAGCACACTCTGTCTCTCAAGAACCGTCGACGTCATCGTCTGTTGGAACAATGACAAAAAGGTCACGAAAACCATTCGAAGAGCTGGGAAGCAAACAGAAAAATAGAAGATCTGACGATGAATCGGTATATGCAGCTGCAGCACGTTTAAGAGAAGAAGGGCATCCTCATATTGCATCTGTGATCGAATATATGATGAAAAATCCTGGAGCAGACGTTAAAATTAATGAATCGCTTATAAAACCAGTGAAAAAAGTTATATTTACACCAGAGAAAGCGCTTGGATTGTTTGTTTCACTAAAACTGTCAAAGTGGCAATATATTACGTTGCGAGAAGCAGCCATTCGAGAAGGTGCTAAGGATATTTATCCATCCTACTATAAACTATAACAAACTAAGCTTGATTGCTACCCTCCAAAGCAATCAGTGTCAGTTACGGATTCATCAGCCAGGATTACACTTCAAGCTTTACTCGACATTACTGTGATGAGGATCATTCAAAGTCTTTCTGAAGATGTGCAAAATAAGCAGCTAAACCTGCTATCGAAGTGGGGATTTGATGGTGCCTCCAACCAAAGAAGATACAAGCAGAAAATGGAGAGTGAGCAAGATGATTCAAGCATTTTCATGACCTCCTTGGTGCCACTAAAACTGACAGATGGAGATAAAACTGTATAGATGAACCCAAAACCATGCTCAGCTTTGTATTGTCGTCCAGTTCAGTTCACTTTTGTAAAGGAGAGCGAAGCAGTTGTCATTGATCACAAAAGACAAATGGATGATGAAATTAAGGCCCTTATCCCCACAGAGTGCAGTAATAGCAACAAGGTGACCCATCAACTAATGATGACTATGATCGATGCTAAAGTCTGCACGTACCTTTCCGAAGCCAGATCAAATGCATCGTGCTACCTGTGCCTAGCAAAACCTACAGAAATGAATCGCTTAGATGCTGTAACATCAAAGAATGTATGTTCTGACTTATACGAATTTGGTTTGTCATCCCTACACGCTCGCATAAATTGCATGGAATGTCTGTTACACATTGCGTACAGGCTCGACTTCAAACAGTGGGCGCGAGAAGTAACGAGCACAAAGAAATGTTGCAGACTAGAAAAAAAAATATTCAAAATAAATTCAAAAATGAGCTCAATTTGTTGATTGATATAGTTAAACAAGGCTCGGGAACTACGAATGACGGGAATACTGCAAGAAAGTTTTTCGAGTCTCCCAATAAAACTGCAGCTATTACCGGGCTGGATGAAGAGCTAATTAAAAGATTTGCAGTGATTTTGCAAGCAATAACATCTGGCGAGAAGATCGACGTAATGAAATTTAGAGATTTTGCCCGTAAAACAGCAGATTGGTACGTGGAATTATATAACTGGTACTATATGTCGTCAACCGTACATAAATTATTAATACACGGTGCTGATATAATCGAAAAAAATTATATCGTGCCAATTGGGACTCTCTCAGAAGAAGCCTCAGAGTCTAGAAATAAAGATTTTAGGAGGTTCCGGGACCATCATTCGCAGAAAAGAAGCAGGCAGAAGATTCTAATCAAGATATCTTAAACATGCTTCTTGTTTCTTCGGATCCTTTCCTAAGTGCACAAAGGCCTAAATTAGATGCCAAGAAAAAGCAGATGTTTTTTGCTGAAACTCTCGACTTAATTCAGATTCAGGAAACTGAGTTCGAGTTTCTAGATATATCCAATCTAAATTCTGACTCAGAATTGGAGACCGATAACGAGAGTGACAGGGAAGATTTATAATTCTTATTATAATTTTTCATGTTTTGTTGTTATTTATTGTTCATTGTATGGTTTGTTTATTGTATTATTTCTTTATTTATTAGTTGATTGTTTATTGTACCAATTAGTTTATTTCTTTCTTAAATTAATTGATCTTAAAATTTGTATTATTGTATTTAAAGTACTTAAATACGGTTTTTGTTACCTCTTTTTTAGTTATAATCAATAAAAAGAGTTTTTTTATGTAATTTCTTGTTTTATACATTCTTAATTTTTGGATCGATAACATTCCTCATACGGATGTTCTTAACATTAACACTAAAAGGATCGGAAGGTTTGATATTATATAAAAATATTATGATGACTTTTTTTAAAAAAAAACGGCATTGAAAACCGTTATGTGAATTATGTCAAAAAACCATAAATAAATAGTACTATAATCACCTGTAAGGATATTACGGTTTTCCTTGCCGTTTAAGAGATAATTCTATTTTTATACTACCTCCATACAAATTATTCGTAAAAAAAATATAATATCCTCATTTTTGTGCAGAATTAACTCTGATATCTTTTTTGTGTATAGTGATCACTAATAGAAGCGATAATCAGCAAAAAATACAGCACTTGCAAATTGAAATCCCTAAGTCTATGAAAGCCGATTTTCAGCCCACTGTGTGGCGTAAGGATTATCAATTTTGGCTTGCGTATAAAAAAATGTGGTAGTGGCATTTGTTGTTGAGAATTAAACAGGTAGAAGAGCAATAATAATTAAAGTATTTAATTTTTAATGTTATTGTATTATGGTTCAAATAAAAAAATAATAATTCACTGTTTAATGTTGAATTCAAACAACAGTCCACTAAATAGTTATAATAACTTTTCATGTTGCTCTATTTTTGCACAAAAAAGTTTACAGACGCGTATTTCAAGCGGATGGAATTCGGGCTCGCACTGGTTCCAAGCGGTCCGAGATATGGTGTCCGTGAGCGGTGTCTATGTGTGCGTTGCTCTAGTGCACGTTGTGTGTAGATTACCTTCTATACTATCTATTTCGTGCTAGAACTATCGCGTATGTTTAGGCATCGGCCGTTGCTGAAATAATATTACATTATATTTGTGTTGTAATGCGTTGCGCATACGCTCCACCGGCCAATGGAAGCTACGCTATACTGACTATTGAGGAATGTTTATTGATATAAATCCTAATATAATGTTGAAATATTTCTCGTGTTCGGTGTTGTACTTATTGTAATGATAAATTACATTCTGTAACTGCAGCATGACAAATGACATGAGATGAAAACTTGTTGACAATAAAGTTTTTGAATTTTTGATTGCAATGAATTTCATTTAACCACCTTAAAAGGCATGTCCGTGTTACTTTTTCTTTTTTTATTTATTGTAACATACTCGATACAGTTTATACATTTTAGATATTTAATCCACAAAATTAAATGAAGCAATAAATGAAACATCCGTCGCAGCAGAAGTTGAAGTTGTTGAAGATACAGAAAATTATTTCAAGTCTCCAAAAATTTTGCAGATATGAATTTCAACGACTAGAAAGATTTAGAAAAGGTAGTAAAGTATAACGGTTTTTCAGCTAGTTTGGGGAACAAAGCTCCACCTCAATGAAGACCTAAGTAAATCACACGTATGGTAAACTGTTTCAGTTTTCTGTTCAAGCCCTTCGTTATATATTCCAGAGTTTTAATTTTTTCTAGTTTTTTTTTATATCAGTTCGATTCTGGTATGCTTCTCTGGAACTAAATTTAAATTTGACAAAAGTGTATCCTTGTCACTGTCTATAAAGAATGAAAACGAGAGACTGATGTTAAGTTTAGTTTTAAGTTAAGAGAATCATGCCAGAATCGACACCATTATATCTTTCTTTCACTTCCAGTCATCAGGGATGTACTCACACTCAAACTATGGTAATTATTCAATCTTTGGAAACTTAGGCAGGTACTCATCTGAGGCCCAAGGTAGAACTTTGACAGCTCCGTAAAGGTATCGCATCGTCAATGTTTCTATGAAAACTAAGCAGCGCCCCTACCGGATGAAAGAACAATCTGATTCCTTCCATACAAAATTAGACGATACTGATACAATGACGGGTCTGTCAAAGTTTGAGCTTAGGCCTCTGATACCGTATCATACGGACACAATCAAGAGTTGTGTTAATTCATCATTCAATTATCATTCATCATTTTTGTTGTGGGGGATAATATGGACTTAAATAATTATGTAGATGTAATTTTTTATATGATCAGGATTGAATAAATTATTTCGCAGATAACTTTATTCCGAGAATTTCAAAATCGGCCCATAAACTGTTACGACTACTTCCAAATAAAATTAATAGTTTAAATCCTCAGAATACAGAACTCTGTATTCTGAGTTTAAATCTAAAAAAAAAATTTTACTACAAAACATTCCACGCGGACCAGGTAGCAGACGGGACTTTTAAATATATAGCAGTAAAATGCTTAATAATTAATTGTACCTATATCTTTCTATACTTCACTGCCTTAATGCGCTATTGCGTGTATCGTGTTTGGAAAATTGCATAAACCGCAAGTGGCCATTCAATTAGTAATAATGACGACTAATAACAAGCGTCAAGCCGGCGAGCCGCGGTAAGGTCAATCATTTTTTAAAAATGTACGCAGGTACAATGCGTGGCATACAACAGGCTTTTTATAATATAAGTAGCGGGTGCCCGCGACTTCGTCCGCGTGGCCAATGGTTACCCATAAAAAACTTCATCCCTCATTTCATCCCCCATTTTTTTAAACGATAAAAAGAAGACTAACCTAACCCAACCTTTTACCGGGTCCCATTTGTGTTTATACCGAACCTAGCCACCGCCCGCGACTTTGACCGCATTTACTTGAGTGTTTTGTAAATTCCTCAGGAATCTTACATTTTTTCGGGAGAAAAAGTATCCTGTCTCAATCCAGGTAATAAACTAATGTGTGCCAAATTTCATCCAACTTCGTTCAGTATTTTTTGCGTGATTGAGTAAAAAATATACAAACTCTCACATTTATAATATTAAAAGAATTACCAATATTCTGCATTATCGTTTCAGCTTTTTAGGTGTGCAAGCGTAACAAACGAAAACATAAATAAACAAAGCTACTTTCACATAATTAGTTGGGATTTAAAAAACGAAGATATAAATTAGGCCTACTATCAGCTACCAGTACTTGCTGTTCTGTGCAGCGAGTAATATAAATTTTAATAATAGCGAATAATAATTTTCGAACCTACCCTGTCAATTGAATTTTTATATACCAATATCAATTGACATTTGATATTGACATTATTGACAAACATATGACTTTATGATTGATATTATTGACAGACATATTAGACATAGTTATTATTGACATTGATATTTGTATATACCAATATCAATTGACAGGGTAGGTTCGAAAACCATTATTGATTTTATCATTTATTTGTCTGTTTAATATCCCCACTGCTGATACCGGTGTTAAATGCAGCTTGAACCAAGCACTAAGGCGCTTATTACAGAATGATAACTTAGTGTTGGTCTTTGCTTGAGCACAGTTAGGAAGGGATGTCGCTTTGTATAGCACATAGCGACATCCACACTTAGTTGTCAGTCTGTAATACGGACCTTTGTGTTGATCTTTACTTGTAGAAAGTACAGTTAGAAAGGGATATCGCTATGTGGTATATATAGCGACATCCCTTTCTAACAATGCTCAAGACTAGATCAATCACTGAGAATCTTTCTATAATACAGGCCTTAGTTGTCATTTTGTATCGAACTCAATCGTTGAGACTTTGAGACAGTAAATTTATCGTCACCTACCCCGTGGTCAGCAATTGTCAAAGTTGCTTACTTCCGCAATGGCAGGTCGAACAGATATTTTTCATACTACTCAACAACTGCTCTGGAACCCACACCGTCACCGCCGGCAAGGTAGAAGAAGAAGGAGTTGTAAGTGATGAAGCTCCCCCATCTTATTGGAGATCAACCGCACCGAATGTGTGTATTTATATATATAGCTCATTAGCATGTACCCACTGCTGGGGCACAGGCCTTCCCCATTAATGCGATAGGGAGATTGAGACACGTCCCACCACGCGGGCCCAGTGAGGATTGGAGGGTGCTTAACGGCTTAACGTGCCTTCCGAAGCACGGAGGAGCTCGAGATAGTAAATTTTTGGTCATGGATGGGTGACATGAATGAACGACCATTGGGAAAGATGCTTAACTTTGACGATCGCAGTTGAACGCGCTAACCACTTGCAACGTCGAGCTCGCGGATAGCTTGTACCAATCAATGTGGAGATCTTTAGGGGAGGCCTTTAATCAGCAGTGGGAGTCGTATTGTCGAATGATAATCATGAAGAAATATTTAGAACATTTTTGTTTTAGAAATTTTCAGAATTAAGTTAAATTTAAATGGGAAAATGAGAGAAGAACTGTGATTCTCAAAGAAATAATAAATTATCACCTAAAATAATAAATGTCCAACAAAGTACCAAAAATTTGAAAAACATGTCTGTGCCACCCTCCGCTGTCCGGGCGCATGTTCAAGTCCCGTCTGCAGCCTGGTCCGCGTGTTTTTTTCTAGTAAAACAATTTTCTTTAAATGCATAAAAAATTATTATTATTATAAAGATAGATTTATGAACCATCATTTACGGGGATACTTGGTAATGTTTTACCAAAGCAGAATCCTGACTCCAAAAGGCACGTGTCAGCGATTGGTTAACGAGGCAATAGCTCTTCAAAATTACATCTTATTCGTATGAGCTTAAGTTTGAATTAATGTGTCGATAGGCAACACGTGACAAACATTTCAACTTAACTCTTGATCGTATTTCCTTAGGCTTAACTAAATATCTTAGAACGGGAAAATTGTACTTGCTAATGACCCAGATGTCTCAGGCTTGCGCCTTGTTTTTCATATGAATTGAATTATATAAATTTTATGCTTAATCTCACAACACACATACGGAATGTGTTTAAAGATTCTTTTTCTTGCTTCTTTTAGATAAAAGTGAAAACGTACACATTTTTAAAAAAAAATCACTCGATCCAGATCCATAAATTGCCAGACAGGCTTCGAAACCGTATCTTGCGCAATCCGGGCGGACGCACTGACTAATTATGCTACCGTACCGAGACCATGGCCGTGACGAATTCCCTCTAGTATTTTTTTGCTGCAGCGCCATCTCTTCATATGTAGGTAGTAACCCACAATGTGAAACGAAATATTCACAAGAATAGATTCGAAATAAGAAATAGCAAGTGTAAGTTATTATATTTTAAGGAATTTAACCGCTAAATTTATAAATCTAAAGAAAAAATTATTAGAAAAAAAACCACTCAGTCCAACAGGACGATTCTGTAAAATAAAATCTCACTTCCGATGTCGGTAGCTGCCATTTTAGACATTAGTTTGAAATGCATTACGCCATTAGACGTCAGAATGTCGCTATGTCTGTAGAAGCAGCCAGTATTAGATATTTGAGATTTGTCGAAAATCCGAATAAATGAGATCGTAACTGAGATTGCATCTTAAGGAATGCCTATCCAGGTTTCAGACAAGATTTTAACCGACATCTTCCGCAATCGGGGTGGACGCAGTAACCAATTATGCTACCTGCCTTGCAGCCGAAGAAATACTAGAGGAAATTCAAACTCGAAATATTTTGAATTAGGAATCTCTGTCGCTTCTGCCGCTAGGGCAGCTTGCGCAAGTTTCCATCTTCGCATTTAGATCTTATTTCTGTGTTGCCAATAATCTGCGGGAGTAGTTTTGCGGCTCGCCTTGACCAATGTTGCCACACCGCGCCACTCGCTACGTCCGTAGGAAATGCTCACGAATTATGCGGGTCTATGTAATGGACTACACGAATTAATAGATTTTAAATTAATTTTGGTAATGCTTTGATGTGCGTACAATAGAGCGTTTATGGTTGCAAAATTTGTACCGTCGAATCTGCCCGGCAAATCTGAAATCTCCGATCGAAGTGTAAAAATTTTTATTGTTTCTCAATAAACAATATTACATTTTTATTTACATGACCCGAACAAGTTGTTAAAAATTAAATGCAACCCAAGCAGTTAACGTTAGCGGATTATATTGGCGTTATGATGACAAAAAAAATATGGTGAGCTCCATACCTGTAAGAAGACACTACAAGACGCCTACGTGGTGCTACCGTCGCATGTTACGCATTAGTTGGACGCAGAGGGTCAGGAACGAAACCGTGCTTCAGCGCGTTCATATGTCCCGGAAACTGTTGCCTTCTATCAAAAAGCGCAA